ATGTTACTGGAATCCCAGCAAGTTACCTCCAATCTACCACCACCAGTGCAACCCACGGTGAGAGTAAAGACACCAAGACATGTTCCAAATTAAGGGCAGCCAAGCAGTCCCAAATCCCATCCCCATGAAGATATGCGGACAGAGGCCCTGATCCTAGGTCCCTCGCAGAATTTATTACCTTGTGAAGAAGCAAGTGGCTCAGGGATGAGTGACAGTGAGGATAGTAGGAACTCCATGAGTAACTTGAGCTGGCTAGCCAGGTAGCCAGAAAAGCATCTTTGCAAAATGAGAGGATAACGATATGCAGAAGGATCAATCTGCATAATTCAATTAAAGTAGCAACTGAATTATTTTTGGAGGCTGTTGCTTCAGATTCTGATATGTAAACTTTCATGCCCTGGGGACTCATAGCCTCTTTATCTTGAGTCTTATCACCAGTTGACATTCCTGGAGCTGACTGGCTCTACCATCCCACTGTGTTTATAGCTTTTACAGAGAGCATTATGTAAGGAAACAGGAGACTGTCTGATCGCTTTAGAGATTACACATACTAGTACCTCAGCTGGCCTTATTTGCAATGCTTAGAGCCAATTGAAGAAAGAAGGAAATACCATAGTCAGCTTTGTAGATATCAGTATAAGGAAATGCTCTGATCAGAGTAACTGCAATTGTTCTGCATTCAAGGGGAGTCATATTGTTTCCCACATTGCTCTTCTATTTCTTATCCTCTCCTGATTGAGATTATAGGTTTCCAAGAGAAGTCTTCTTGGTATGTTGGTTTTAACACCAGAGCTTTTCTATAGTTAAAGGAAGACTTGGTCAATGGAAATAATTACATTCACACATAAAATATGAACAAGGGCTGTGCCCAAACACTAAATAGTAGAAGCCTTAAGCCATCAGATGGTAAATACTGTTCCCAAAAGCAAAGACAAGACTACTGGGAACATATCAAAGATTACTGAATATTTTTACCAGCATCACCCACTGCAGAAAGGAAAAAAAGGTATGTGGCTCAGAAAGTAGATACCAGAATTAATTAAATCTCAGCTTAAATTTAAACTCTGCTAGATGCATGCTTTTGGAATAGTCAGCTAATCTCACTAAGAGTTAGTATCTTCATCGATAAAGTAGAGATGATAGTAATGGCAGTTACTGTGTCAAGCTTATGGGAGAATTAAATGAGATAATACATAAAGAGTGCTTAATTCAGGGTTGACATATAGAAAATAGCCAATAGTTAATAAATATTTACTAATAATGTCTTTCCCTTGAAAAATATATATCAAGTATTGTAGTCTAAAACTGTTCGGATTCTGTACTAAGTAAACAATGTGTTGATACTTCCTAGATTTTTTTCTTTACATAAACTAACAAATTCCACTAAACACTAGATTATAGTCCAGTCTTCGTAGCTTGGAGATAATTTTAAGAATTATTGATTTCATGGTTGAAAACACAAATTTATGATCTCTTGGAAGACTGGATCCAGAATGGAACAGGAACAGGTTGTGAAGAAGTCATGCAATAATTTTAATTAAATTTTTAGAAAGAAAACTATGTGAAATATCTTCTCTGACCATGCTAGAATGACACTGAATATCAATAATGACAAAAATATATAAAAAAGACCTTCATGTTCAGAATTTAAATAGGCATACTTGTTAGAAACACAAGATTCAAAGAAGAAATTGTAAAGGGTAATAGAAAATACTTCAGAATGAATAAAATATATTCTCAGAGTTTGTGGTATGCACCTAACATAATGCTTAGAGCTAAATTTGGTCTTAAATATCTACACAAGAAAAGATGAAAGATTTAGAGTAGTGATACAACTTTTTGACTAAAGAAGCTAAAGAGAAACAATATTCAAATTTAACCCAAAATAAGGAGGTATTAAATCAATAAAATGGAAATCGCATAATGTAATCAGTAAAATGGAAAACAAGGAATAGAGAAATGTAACATAGTCAAATGTTTTCTTTGGAAAAATAAACTTGATAAATTATATCAGGACTGATTAATAAGAAAGCTGTCATAATTATCAATGTTAGGAATGAGAGAGGAATACCACTGCACATCTTACTGATATTTAAAAAAGAAAAAGAAAACAGGATTAACAATCCAGTGGCAATAAACAGAACAACTCTATGTGAAAACCACAACTGAAACAAGAAAAATTAGAAATCTGAGTAGTTCCATAATCTAATAAAGAAACTATGTGTAAACAAAATCTTTCCACAAAGAAAACTTCAGACACAGGTGACTTCAATCAATATTTAAGGAGAAACTAGCATCTTTTTAAAGGAACATTTTCTGAAAATAGAGAAGGAAATACTTCTCAAATAATTTCACAGGACTAAGTTAACTCTGTTGTCAAAAACAGGCATACCCATTTGAAAATCAAGCAGATAATTCAATAGAGACAAAATAAATGGAAAAACAAGATCATTTAGATTAATGCAAAATATGTATCTGATGAAGTTCTCTACCTGTTCCTGATTTAAAAAAAAAAAAAAGCTATCCCAAAGTAAGAATAGAAGAGAACCTCTTCAATCTTAATAGGAGCATAGTGAACACTTTATCCTGTGATGGAGGACAAAACAGGGCTGTCCACTCCCATCTCTTTGTAGTATATGCAGTGATACAAGGAAAAGGAATGGAAGTTACAAAGATTGAAAAGCAGAAATATTCCTTTCAATGAGGATATGATTATTTACATATAGAATTCTCAGGAATATATATAAAACAGCTACCACAACTCATGATTGAATGAAGCAGTCATAGGAAATAAGGTCTATATACAAAAGTCAATTGTATTTCTATAAAATTTTAGCAAATGACAAGAAATTAGATTCTAAAATTCAATGTCAGTTACATAAAAAAATTCTCAGAAATAACTGAACAAAAGACTTGTAAGATTGTGAAATGTGAATTATAAAACTATGAAAGAAGGCCTGAATAAATGGAAATACGCCATGTGAGTGGATTGGAAGAATCAGTATTATTCTCCCCTAATAGATTTTTTAGAACCAATTTAATAAAACTAATAAATTCTCAGTAACCTTTTCAAATAGAAAATGATAAATCTTAAAATCTATATAAAGTAAATACAAATAAATCTTTAACAAAGCAAAAGTAGAAAAGTTTATCTACTTTTGAAACTTGCTGTTAATCTGTAGTAATCAAAATATAATATTTTTGGTATAAGAACAAGCAAATGTATTGCTGACAAAATGGGTCAAGGGAGAGTCCAACAGTACATGTACCCACACACACACTATCATTTGAATGTGGCTTGTCTGCCAAGGGTTTATACATTGGTAGCTCATTGTGTAGCAATGTTAGGACTAGTGTGGACCTTAAAATTTGTCTCCCTGGTCATTTAGAGTGCTAGCCTCAGAAGAGAGTAAGATGATTTTTGTGGAATTTTGAGTTAGTTCTTCCTAGAGTAAGCCATTCTGAGAGTGAGCCCAGCCTTGGCATACTCTTTCAAGACATGGTCTCTTCCTCCCACACATACTTCCATAACTGTGAACTAAAAATCCTCTTTTCGTTGTAAAGTTACCTAACCTCAGATATTTCATTGTAATACTAGCAAATGGACTAATACAACATGGTCAATTGGTTTTTAGCAAGGTTACATAGCATTTCATTGAGGAGACGGAGTCTTTCATAAATGGTTGTGGGACAAATTGATAAGCATTGCACAGAGAAAATAACTTCACCCCTACCAGCAACATAAACAACTAAGCTAGGGTGGATCATAAACTACATGTAAAAACTGAGCCTACAAAAATCTAGAAGAAAACATAGGAAAATACTTTTTGTACTAGGCAAGAATTTTTTAGGATACAGCAAGCACTAGTATAAATAATTAAAACTTCTGCTTCATGAAAATGAACACTTTGCTAATCAATAGTTATCCACATAAGCAAATTTTTATAAAGAGCATGAGCTTTTTTATGTACTATGTTTAATGCTTTTCTCTTAAGTTGGAAGTTATTTTCGAATAAAAAATTTTTTAAATACCATTAACAAAACAGGGGAAAAAAGATTTAGGGTACTGCTCAGTGGTAAAGCGCCTGGTTAACAGGAGGAGCACTGAAGAGCTAATAAAAAGGCTATGTTGATTTTTTTAAAATGTTAGTTATACTGACAACAATGTATTTGAAAGAAATATTTCCTTAGGGGATTGCTAATTGTATAAAATTAGTGTGGTACATGTAGACAACACTGCTAAAAATCAGGAAAAAGTGGTTTATTCTCAGATAAAAAGGTAGCTTTTAAGAAAGCTTCAGTTCTGCAGTATAGAGTCTGAGACAGGTTTGCAGAATTCCAGCCTGCTGTGTTACCTCTGAGACCTAAAGGAAGCAGAACATAAAAATGAGCCTCTATCAATTTGAACCAAACCTAATCTTTGTGATCATGCCTGTGGTCTAAATCTATTAAGAGATGTTCAGATTCAGTGTCCTTGATATCCCTGGGTTGACCTGCAGAGTGAGCAATAAACTTGTGTATTATAATTCCACTTGGAAGATATGTGCTTAGGAAGTGAAACCGACAGTCAGTGTTTTGTGTCTGTCTCTAAGCAGACTAACAGCCTATATAAAATGACAGGTGCATTTTTAGGGAAAGAAACCTATAATGTTTTTCTATTTAGTAGGTGACAGTGTGTCCCAAGATAATAGAAGCTTAAGGGGCTGGAACCAGCCTGATTATTAAAAGCTTGCAGTTTCTCAGTTCATACAAATTGAATTTTTCATAGACTGGAGGACTGTGGAAATCTAGTGCAGAGTACTGAAATAAATTAGCATATTAAGTGAATTTATACATTCAGGCTTGAGCACTTGGAATTTAGGGAAGAAATTTTATTACTTTTTGACAGAAAACAACAATTCTTAAATTTGGTATTTGAACTCCCCATTGGAAATTATGTCATTTTGATGATTATCCAAAAAAGTAGTTATTAAATCTTTCTTCTGTCCTCTTTTTTTCAGAATTACTGATTTAGGCAACATCAAAAGAAGACTTTATTTATCAACAGTCCATAAGGAACTGTCTTCAACTCCTCTTCATGCAAAAATCCCACTCTTCATGATCAAGCGCAAAATTGTAAGTATCCAAGAATGTTACATGAAGCATTAAATTCAAGACAGCAAGTATTAATTATAGGCTGACACTGTATATGAGGCATTTTGTTAAGTACCATAGTTGCATTAAAAATGAACAAAAGCCATACTTCCTTCCTCTCAATTGAAGTCTACCAGGTAAATTAATATTATTATTTTAACACTTTTAATGTCACAAAAACTGTGATAAGAAGCACCGTGGAGAGAGAAGGTTCTGTTGTGATGTCAAATCGGAGAGAAATTCATCTGACTGGTGGACGAGCAAAAGTTTCATGAAGGGGAAGCACTTAACCTAGACTCAGAAGGGTGGTAATATTTCAATAAGGAGATGAAAAACAGAGCATCCCAAGCAGGAAGAGCAGCATGGGCAAAATTTTGAAGCTGGTGTCTTACTTTTTCCTCATTGTGGAGAAAAAAATACTTGGTACTCAAAATTAAAGGAGGAAAGGTGTACTTAACTCACAGTTTGTAGGGGTTTCTGTCCATTATCAGCTGGCTCTATGACAGGGGCATCACAGAGGGGAAACAGTACACAGTGGGCAGAAGGCTGCAAAGCAAACAAGCCTCTTTCTGTTGCTTTTCCATACCACGCACCTTTACGGTGGGCAGTGCTGATACCTTTAATCCTAGCATTTCTCCATGAGTCCATCCCAGTGTCCCACACTCTAGATCCAGCCACCTCTGAAGAAGCCCCACCTATGACCGCATGAGGCATGGGGGATATCTAGACATAAGCCACAGCAGCCATAAAATGCTGCATCTTTTAGAGAACAGAGAACTGGCGAATCACCATTGGCAGATTTGTTCACTGTTGAACAGCCTAAGAAATATCAGTCCTACAATACAACAGCCTGGTACAGGTTGGCCCATTTTAGTCTATTGTGTAACCTCCAAAAAACCTGAGTTGACTGAGGAATGCTTTTCATTCTGCATTCATTTCTGCACAGCTGTCAGTACCATCTTTGAGTTCTACCTGCTGGAGTAGATACTTAACAATTGCTTTTGAATTAACTTGATTCTTTTTGGATTAAATTTGCTTTAAAAGAAATCTATATGTGGTACTTACAGATGGAAAATCTATACTAATAAAAAAGTTGGAAAATAAACAAAAATTCCATTTCTTCGTGCATTTCCAGTTTTTTGCCAATTTATTTTTAGATTTATTCCATTGTACCTAGAAAATATATAGTGGATACCTTCTTTGAAAGTGATTTACTAAAACCTTTTGGCCTCAATAATAGGAAATATATAAAATACAAAAATAAGATGCTAAAAAAATAATATTTTAATATATAGCTAGATACAGTTTCTTGTCCGAGGCCCTGTTTTGAGTCTTGCTCTTTTCAGCAGGAGTTTATCAAGGATTAGATACATGGAGAAGTATTTTCCCTGACACAGTTAGAAGAACCAAATGGAAAGTGATAAAAAAGAAATTCTTATTCTGAGATCTAGAGTTATTTTATACTACTGTGTATCATCTAAAATCATTTAACAAGTTGTACATGTTTCATACTTTGGAAACTTCTATAATAGAGAAATGGAGCTCACTAAAGTTTTTGAACTATGGAAGAAACACACAGATTACTGTGGTAGTGGTACTTGCAGAGATTTGGAGGGATAAAGAGTGAAGATGAAGAGACCAGAGTAGGGCCAGTGAGGACTGGGTGGTAGCAGAAAGGAATAGATGTGAACCAACATGGGAAACATATAGTCACAGAGATATCTGTGAACAGAATGTCCCCCTGTGTGTGGTGGATGCATTGAGAGCCACAGCAGAGAATCTAGGCTTAGGTCCTAACTACCACGTAGAATTCTGGCTCTGAAATTCACTCTATATTTTTGTTAAATATATAATGCACAAATATTAAGAGATTAAGAGTTCAGAATCTGAGTTCTAACTCTTACTCCTATACAAATTCCTTTGTTCATTTCCTCATCTATAAGATGCAGATAATGTGAAATAAACACACCACTAGTGTTGTAGAGATTTACACGAGTTAGGACTCTGGAGGCTTTTAGAGTAGTGCCCCCATAGAGTAAGTATGAAGGAAGTATTATGTTTACTATTACTATTTTAGGCTCTACTCTTTCCAGGCAGTCTGATTTCCCTTCTGTGGATTAGATGCTGGGGAACAACTCATCTTTGCTATTCATAATTTAATAACCCTCATAACTTCTCCACCCTGCACTTTGGTCACCTGTTTACTGGCCTGCCTCCCTCATTCAACTACAAGCATGTCCTGATGTGCTTTTGTCCCCAGTGCCTTTCTGCACATGGCACACACTAAGTACTCAATAAAGGTTTGCTGAACCAATTGGCAAATTTTAATGAGACAGCAGACACAGAAGATAAAATAATGACTTTTTCATGATCAAATTAGAGAAGCTTTCTAAATGTGCTTGATGAATGAACAAATGCCCAGGAGTATTAATCTCAATAAAATTTGAAAGATTCAAATCATAGAAAGTATATTCTGTAACGTCAAATGAATGAAACATCAGTAACAAAAAGATAACTGGAAAATCCCTGAGTACTTGGAAATAAAGCAACATTCCTCTTGTCAGCTGATTTTCTGTTGAGAAATTAAAACTAACGTGAAAAATTATCTTTAAAGGCACAAAATATAAAACTATGTTGTTTGTATACCACTGTAGGAACATGAAAACAGAATAAGGTTTTAAAATTCTGGGAAGAGATACACTTGTGATAGATTGTGAAATTGGTGATTTCTTGTTTGTCACTTTCTTATAGAAAAACAGTGCAGTTAGTCAGGGGCTTCATATACTGACCAAATATAACCACTATCCCGAGATCTTACCTACAAAGAACCAGGGCACTGAAGAATCACAAAGTACTGGGACAACCAAGAATTTATTACATGCATTTGAATTTGTATATGTTTGTGTGCATGTGATTTCGCAGAATGTACAGGCCTCTTAATATATACACCATATTTCCAAGAAGTCATTAAAAACTAGAAACTGATACTTTGAATAAGTCCTCTTTGCCAGTCAACTGCATGCAAAACTTCTTGCTAGAAGTAGGCAGCATAAAGTCACTTATTAACCCAAGCAATGAACTAAACAGAGCTGTCTTTTTTCTGTCAGATTCCTCTCTTTCATGTGCATATGTCTTAAGAACTCATAATTATAAACATTTTAGGGCAAGCGTTTTTTTCTACTGGAACTAAAGTTGTACATAGGTGTAAAAGGATTAGAGATCAAGAAAAATGTCAAGGGATATTAAGAGTAGATGATATCACCAAGATAATGAAAATAATATTTTATAAAGATCAACTATAATCCACTTGTTGGTAGTAGATAGTTCATACCCTTTTCCAAAACTTCAGAAGATATATTGCAGCATTTATATGAATAATGAGTTATTTATTGAGGCTTATGAAAATTGGAATCTTTATAAGTATCAGCTAACTCAAAAACTAGTTTCTGTTTTCTCTAGCCAAAAGGTATTTGTGAAAGTTTTTCAGTCTTTTGCAAGAATCATCCCAACTATACAACCAAGAAATGGATTCATTAAATAAAGATATCAGTTCCTAGATATTTATTTGTTGAATGATTATAAATAATGGAAGTGAAGATTGAATATGTGTGTAGGCATGAATGCATTTGCATGTCTTTATATTTTCATCCACACACTTAACGCATGCTGCTATTAATGAGTTCTTTCCAGGAGGCCTGACCCCAGGCAGAGGGAATAAAAGCAAATTGACTGTGATGGATATGAAAAATATGTCTTGGGTAAAAACGTGGTTTCCTGGGGCTCAGTTTTTGAAGGAGATGGGCAGTGATTCCATATTAGAGCTGGTGGTGCAGCCTGCTAGAGTTCAGATGAACAAAAATAAATGAGAGGAGTCCCTGAGACGAAATGGCCAGCTCATCCACAAGCCTCCCTGGGCCTGGAAAGACTTGTCATTCTTGATCAAACTTGTGTCACCCTCAGGTCTTTCAAAATGAGAGAAAAGTTGGAGTCAAAGAAAATAAAGCAGATAGCAAACATGGCAGTTACTCTAAAAATGTTAAAAGTTGTATGATAAAAGGGAAGCTATTCATAGAGCACTATTTGAATCACTTGTGTGTAGTACATTACCACAATAAAAGATGACAATATGAATTATAAAGGAAAAATGGCAAATGAGGGATGACAGAAGATGAAGTGGAAGAATGAGGTTGATAAGTGAGCGGAAAGTCTTGTCTATGATATGGGACGTCAGTAGATAGTGTCTCAAGTTGACTAATCAAAAGCAATAATATTTATGTTTTTCTTTTTTTAAATTTTATTTTAAAGAGAATAAAACCAAGCAAAATAACAGAATAAATAAAGCCAATTAAAACAAAACAGTGAAACTGATACAGGATTTCAAAATAGGATAATAGGAAATCAACAATGGTTACCATAATGTCTCTTGTTATCTTTAAAATTGCTGCCCATATCATCAGACATAATAAAATCAAACAAAATGGAGCAGAATAAACCAATCAAAACAGAATACTGAATAAAAACAATACAGTAAAATGACACAAAACAGTGAGAACCATATTGAATTTCAAAAACAAGACAGAAGGAAATCCCCCATGTTTGCTATAATGCATACTGTTATCCTCCATGTTCAGACTACCGGCCGTAGGCCTGCAAAGTCAATCAAACAGTACAAGCATTAAGTTGTTTTTGTACCTCAGCTGCTATCAACTCAGCCTGTGCTCCGAATCAGCTGATTGCTTTGGTGGGCAAGAGGTTGCATTTCGTGTCCCCAGCCTACATGCCAGTTGTCTCACGGGAAAGGCAAATTAGCTTGTTTCTGCTCTCGAGCTCCGCATGGCTTGTACCGGCTCGTGGGAGGGATGAATTGGCTTCTTGTTCAAGGAGTTATATTTAAAAGCACCCAAAGAAAAATGCAAATTCAATTGATATATGATTAGATGAAGGGTGACAAAAGAACATGTAACACTCTCCAGACTATTTGCCTCATTGTTGCATATAATACCTGACATATCTTAAATGTTTCTTAAAAGTAGTCTTTTCCTAAACGTCCCACTTGCTCACCGTGAGCCTACTGTATAGTACCTGTATTAAGGAGATGCCACATGTCTGCTCCCCTCCCAGCCTACAGATCGGCCTTATTTGTATCTGTATCCCCAAAGCCATGCCCAGTGTCTGTCACCTGATAGGTGCTATGCACATGTAGGGAAAAATGAATGAATGTGGCTCCTTGTAGGATGAACCAGCTGAATGGATGGGACTAGCTAAATCTTTTAGGACTAGAAACTACATTCAGAAAAGAATAATAAATAATGCTAGCTAGTGTAACCATAATATTTAAGTTACTACTGAATATAACCCCTAACACCTCCATCTCTTATAATCTAGATTTCACCATGTCATGGTGTTTCACCACATGCATATCTACTGGATTGGTTCCTGATATTCCAGTTCCTCTGTGAGCCTTCTACGAACCCTTCTCACTTCATGCCCAGGTTCCTGGAGTGACTGACTAAAGCTGTCTTTTTGTTCCTTGTGATCTTCCCTCTGCCACAGCCCAGCCCAGCCCACACAGAGTTCCTCTACCACTCCAGAACATTCCCAATCTCCCCGCACTATGGTTTTGCACATTCTTTCAAGATTCACAAAAACACTTGTCTGTAGAATCCACATCTGCTTCCTGACCCTCCAGTTCCTCCAGAATCAGCCTCACTGGCCCATCACCCAGGACCTGGCTCTAGCTCCCCCTCAGGATCTGCCAGTGCAGTCACGTTCCACTCAGTCCTGCTTTTCACCTTGGCTTTTGCCAGGCTCTTCACCTCCCAAGAAGCCAAAGCATTCTTGTAGTCTGAGAATATAAGTTTACCATTGAGACATCACAAAAAGAAATCTTTCTGTATTTAGTCAGTGATTTCCTACAGTCTCTTTTACTGTTACGCTGTGAAAGTAATCTGACTCACCTCCATATTAAAACCAACATGCCTTTATAGAAAGGAGATGCCTTAAACTACTTAATGAGCCTTAAGTAAACTGTGCTTCTAAACAAACAACAGAAAAATCCTGATATTCAACGTAAGCACAGTTTTAATACTACTTTTGCTTTAATTTCAAAAATTCTTTTTCTTACTTTTGTCCTATAGTTTAATTAATGTCTTTAATTTCTCACTAAGTGATTATTTTCCCTTTAATTCAATCAAATCATTCACAGCATATTTTTGATGAAAAATTGAGGATCTAATTGTTTAATAAACAGAAACTAGCCTGTAAGTACTTTAAAAATGGCAAATGCCAGGCATAGTTACAAATTCTTTAGATGACTCTACTGTACAATAGGTTGATTCGTTATAAGTAAATAGCACTGGCTACAATTTAAACCCAGCTTCTCATTTCATCCATGCCCCTTTTTTCATCAAATATAAGTGGATAATTGTGATGAAATTAGTCAGCTTGAAGGAACAACTGGCTCCTGGCTACTTATCCCCAGTTGTCTTTTTCTTTTCTTTTCTTTTTTTTTTTTTTTTTTTTTTTGTACTGGGGATTGAATCCACAACCTCGTGCTTGCCAAGCTGTCCATGATGGAAACTTTGTAGTCAGATGACTGATATATAAGTTAAGTTATGGTGATATTATGGGAAGAATAAGGAAATCTTTAAGAAAATGTAAGCCAAAACAGAAATAGGAAAATACTGGTTTTGAGCTGACCTAGGTAACTGCCTCACTTCTCTGGACTTTCTATGAACCATGGCTTGTTCCTTTCTGTAATTATGGAGGTCTTTACTCTCCTTGTTCCTCTTGATCCTAGTGGTGCAATCTGTGCGTTGACTTGGCAGCGTTCACCAGTGAAATATTCAAGGGGGCAGTTTTCCAGTCTCTGGATGGCATCATCGTCTCCGCTAACTGTAAGCTCCGGAAGATCTTCACCTTAAAATCAAAGCCTCCAGACACTGCTGATAAGGATGGTATGTTTTATGTCTGCTAGAGTAAATTTGATTACAGTTATGTTGATTTCTTTATTCTGGATCAAATGGCTATTTTTACTACAGCTGAATATCATAAAATGTATTAAATTTTCTTTTTGTGGTTGTTTTCTTTTTTGCTTATGGTAACAGCATGTGAGTTAGGATTCTAGGGTGTAGCCAGTAGAACACTGTCTAGGTGGTCAAAAGAAAAGATGGATTTATGTAAGGGCATCAGTCCACTTACAGAATCTCAACTAGATTGTCAGTGTATAACCTATGCCCAAGAACAAGTCCAGCCCTTACCTCAAGACTGCTCCAGGTGGCACTGCTGCCCGCTTAGATCCTTCAACTATGCGGAGACTTAATACGTCACGCCCTAATACGGTACTGGGTTCCAGGTTCCAGGACTTCTATTACAATAGTCCCTGAAAGCAAGAAGGGAATCTCCTTCCCTGCCACCTTCATTGGAAATACATTTCTTCTTCATGTTTCTCTCTAGTGAACAAAGCATGGAATAGCTATCTGTTTATGGAGACTCAGCTGCATGCTACAAGAGAGGCCAGTAAAGCATAGCGCAGATTCCTGATTTGAATGGCAGGGCATATTGTGTGTGAAAGTATTCAAGTTAGGAATGATATGCAGATGATACTGGGCATCTAGTATGCACTGCCATTGTCTGTACTCTTTCATTCTGTATATAAAGAGATTTGGATTGGCAGTAATCATGTTAACTTTCTAGTGGTTGCGTTAAAATAGATGTAAGTAGTTCCCTATATTATTCCTATATATTAATTATTCATAATCTGATTCATAAAGTATGTTCTGCAGGTAACTCAGCTATCTCGTCATGTGATATACTATCCTTTTAAGATAGTTTTAAACAACCACAAAAGAATAATAATGTGTAATTTTGATTTTCATTTGGGATTTTTAAAAATTCTTCTAGAACCCCAGGAAACACAGTCAAACACAATATGTCAAAGGTGATTTCTTGGGAATTTGTCTGTAGACCTTAGATTTTGCTCTATGTGGATACATGTTCAAGAAATCCTTCTGTGGCTCACTCTGTGGAATAAGATCCTGTGCCTATAAATGTCATTTCATATAATAAAACACAGTGCTGTATTAACAGCTCCCTAAAGAGATTGCAGATGGCAAATACAGCTGCTCAGTCCCTTACGCCATTTTAAGGCTATGTGGGAAAGTGGAAGGTATCGTCTTAAAAATGGAACTTAGCTAATAAGCCTCAAAATGTCCAGAAATATATCTGTACTCTACATCAGATCATGGGAGATAAATGAAAACCTGATTGGTATAAATATAAAGAAGCAAATGGATCAAACACGGCAAGTTAAATGCATGTTTTAATCTCCAACCCTTCTTGAACCTAACTAAAATGACAATACAGAAATAAAAAGGTATAAATCCATTAGAATGAAAAATGTGGGAGAAAAAGCAATAATAGACAAAAGATGTGGGTAAGTTTTATAAGTTTAAGGGATGATTTAGATGAGTAAAGAAAGCTGAAATCTTTGGGTTTACAGAGAAGTTTTCCAGTGAGTTTCAAAGAATCCCATAAGTTGGCAGCCCTGGTATGATAGAGTTGTGACTAAAAATAAGGAGAGTGATTGCGTTCAGTTTAGGTTGCTACAGGAGCCCAGGTTCCTGCTCTAACTCCATATAACTAGGCAGCAGGAGACTTATTCCCTGCAGAGACTGCACCAAAGTGCTTTTGAACTCAGGTAGATCAAGTACATGATACATGCCCAAATTAACAGGAAGAAGGAGATAGAGAACATATATTTTCCCTCAGAGTTAATAAAAGATGCTACATCTATAAAATAAGAATAATTTGTTCTTGTCTTCAATAAACATTTTATTTTATTGAAGTATATTATAAATGTTATAGACTGCTTATATTCCTACACAAACAAGCAAATCCTAAGTGTGCGGTTTGAGGAATTACCAAAAAGCAAACAAATTTCTGTAACCAACACCCAGTTAAAACAGAGCACTGTAAGCCTTTTATAAGCCCTATCGGTGTACTCTCCCAGTCCTGACCTTCTCTCCCTTCTGAGAGGTAGTTTCCATCCTCACTTCTACCGGGTTAATTTTATGTATTTTGAGCTATGTAGAAATTGAATCGTATCTTTTCATGGATACATTCTTTAACAAAACTTGGCTTGTGAGATTTATTGGTGTATATATTAGTAATTTGCTGGTTTTCAGTACTGTATGTACTATACCTTTGTATAAATAGACCCTATTTTATTTATCACTTTTGTTATGGGTAATGCAGCTAAAAACATTCTTCTGAACTTCTCTTGGACATCTGTATTGTTTCCTTTTATGTAGGAACCAAATGATTCCATATTTCAGCATTACTAATTTGTTATATTTCTCTATTCTAGGATTTTTATTCTTTTTCATGGTTTCCATTCCTCAGATGTTCTTTATCTCATTATCAAATTTTTCAATTTTATTAATCAAAGCTATTCAAAAGTTCATGGATCATAACTTCTTTATGCGAATCCCCGGTGAATCTGATTCTGTTATCTATTTTTCTTGGTCTTATCTCTTGATATGCCTAGGTTTTTTAATTCTTACTATGAAAAATGACAACATTATTTTGAGGCTTTGAGTAAAATGTCCTCTAAAGACATAAAACCAAAAAATAAAAAACCTAAAATATAATGGAAATGTTAACAAAACTGTAGTGAAAATTCATCCAGGAAGTCTACTATCAGAGTAATGAGATTCCAAGATAAGAGGCTAGATAAAATAGAGAAATACAAGATTTCCCAAAACTGAATCAGTATATTTTCAAACTGATATGATTCATTACTTCCCAGAAAAACTAATGAAACAGATTCACCATTGGAGTGAATTTTAAAAAGATCCTTTGGATGTGAGGGCAATCTGACTGCAAAATCTGTCCCCGCCTTGATTGCCAAAGTTGGTTCAGCTCATCTGGCTGGCTGGGTGGGTGTCCCCTTCCTCCCTTGATGTTCCACGTGCCTCCCTCTGAAGCAGTGCACTTGATCGAAAAGGAAAGCCACCCCCATAAGGGAGGACCATTCCTTGATCAAAGGTGTACAAGTACCTGCACTCCCCTGTTGGAACCTCGAAACAAGCTCTCAAAAAAAGATCTTTAACCTTTCAGAATTCCTAAAAATACAACTTATATACAGGGGATTAGGAATAAAAAAATACAGATTACATTTGACTTTATAGTGGCAGCATTAGACCATAGAAGATCTTGAAACTCTACCTTCAAAAGTCTAAGAAAATATTTCAACCTAGAATTTTGTAGCCATACAACTATTAATTAATGACTTCAAGAACTGAACATTTCGTTTACTTAGATATTTGCTTAGAATAATCTAGAAGATATTTTCTATAAAAATAAAAAAGTAGATCAAGAAAAAAAGTAATTGGGACCCCAGAACAAAGTTTCATTCAGGAGAAAAACAAAGGGAAATGTGCTCTAAACAAGTAAAGTGTTAAAAAATGCAAAAGAAATTTCCAGAAGACTAAAACAAATAAGAAGACTACAGTAATTCTGACTTCTTAATTAAATGAAACACACATGCAGGGACAAAGTAGGATTGTCTTATTTTCAGAATAAAGGCTGCCATTTTACTACACATCAGTGGAAATGACTTAATAGATTATTATCTGTCCATGGACAGTGTTTGAGACATACTGACCTAGGAAATTAGCTTTCCAAACTCCGTGATGAAGGAAAAATAATTTCCCAAGCAATGACATATTAAGTAAAAAGTATATAAATATGAGCATGGCATTATGAAGGGATCTTCAAACATGTATTTTATGAACTTTCCAGAGTAACTGGGTTTCAATACGGTATTTTCATACCTGGATATAACACAGTTTGATCATATCATCTCCCTTCACTGTTTTGATCATATCCATTGTCTTCTCTTACACTGTCATGCCCCGTCCTTATTTAACAAGATCTTACATGTTCAAAGAACAGAGAGTTAATATCAGCCATGGCAGGGTGGTGGTAATGATGTTGCCCTGCTGGTCTTCCAGCTTTGGATGACAAAAGTGTAGGAGCATAGTTCCTCTCCTCTGTATGTAGTAATAGGCACTAGGAGAGTTAGCAGTGCAGGGGCTCATAACAAGACAACCGCACAGAAGTGAGCAGGTTATAACATAGTACAGGACAGACCAAATGCCCCTGGTCAACGTGTGGGCAGTGGAACAATGATGACAGCCGTGATGACAGTGGAGTGGTGACTGCAGCCTTAACCCTTGATGAGATGTAGGCATTGTTCTAGCACTTTATGGTTATGAATTTACATAGCCCTCAAAACAGCTTTAGGAGATAAATATTAAATTAGTCCATACTTCATATGTAGAAAAATGAGGCACTAAAAAAATCAAGTAATGTGTGCAATGCCGTACCACTGTTAGGTGGCAAAGCCAGGATTTGAACCTGGCAGTAGGGCTCCAGAGTTTACAACACTAATAACTACAGTGTACTTACTCTCATGTACTAGAGCGGGAAAAGGGAAATAAAAGATGTCATGGAATAAGAATGCCATTGGTGACTTGTTATGTTAAGAGTGTCCATATTACAGGAAGTAATGAATGTCCTCTTCCCTTTCCTGCTGAAGAGGTGGTTACTTTGTTCTGGAAAGGCAGATTCCTCACAGTTTGAGGCCTTTGTCATAGGAAACTTTACCTGTTCCTTAAATGTCATACTGGGACCTGACTTAAAAATATATATTAAATGCCTACTGAGCTCAGTCCTTTATTTCCTTGTCTTAAACTCCTACCATTTCATTTCTTAATCTCACCCAGGTTAGGAGATATTTTTTCCTAATTCTTTGCTGTTGTTTGTTTGCATGGAGGGATATAATAAAAAGTGAATTATAGGAACCTTGCCACAAGCAATTAACCAGTCTTTATTTGCCCAGAGGAATGACTTATGCTGGACAAAGAGTAAGGTGTGCTGATTCATTTTAGTTATTACTTTATGGCTCCTCAGAGGATTTGGACAAGCATTTCTAGGCATCTGCATGACTGAATTATTGATTAACTCATAATTCTGTTTAAAGTAAAAATCATAATATATATGTGTAGATAATTAGTTAAGACAGATAAAAGGGAGAGAAAAAAGATGAGAAGAAAAAACAAGCAGTGATCTATTAAGCATAGATTTATCCATAAAAGTGATTGTTTTACAAATCTTCTGGCTTCAAGGTTTAGTGTCCTTTCTGAAATATCAGTCATGCAGAGTATATGTAGTGTTTTGAAAAGGCAAGAAAGGAGAATAAATTTATAATTTTAGACTGGGAGCCCCTTGAGGTTATAGACCAAGTCGCTACATTTTTATCTCTAGCATACGACCTGCTTCTGGTAACCAGTTATAAATGTTTGCTGAATTAGTGAATTAAGGTTTGGTCATGTATGTGTTCAATTATTTATTCATTCATTCATTGTCTCCTCAGTATATCTTTACTCAGTGTCAAGTGTGTGAAGAAACTTTCTTCAGTGTCTACAGAAGAATGTGGAAATATCAACATTGTGCTTTAATAGACATTGGGCACAGAAGAGCCAGGGGGGTTCCGTAATCCAAGGTCTTGCTTAAATAAGGGAAAGAAATCCCCTAAGGGTGACACTGCACACAAAATGGGACTTGAAGCCAAGGTTTTGACTTCTGTTTTCTCAGAGTACACAAGTTTACCTTCCTCAATAACCACATGGCTTGGTGATTTTAATATGTATTGTTAGTATTATAATATTATGTTGAGTGTTTCTGTCTCTCTGTCTGTCTCTGTTTCTTTCTCTCTCTCTCCTCTCTCTCTGTGTCTCTCTCTCTCTCTCTCTTTGTCCAAGTCAGGTACTCAAATCCTATATTTAGCTATATTCTTACATTTGACACCCAAAGCACTGCAATAAAGTTTATTTCAAAATTAACCAAATTGAATTTCATCAAAATAAAAGGCTTACTCACAAAGAATGCTATCAAGAAAATGAAATGACATCCTGCAGAATTAGATAAGATATTTGTGATTTATATTCTAATACAATGCAGATTCTGGTTACATTATGTTTCTGATATATTTTTATACCTCAAATATATAAAGAACTCTTTCAGCAATAGAAGATAACTACTTAATTAAATATAATCTAAGATTTGAGTAGACATTTCTTTTTAAAGATATATGTATGAAAAACACATGTAAAAATACTTAGCATGATGTCATTAGCGAAAATGCAAATTAAAATTATAATTGCATAGCTTTATATCTATTAGGATGACTGTAATTTTTCTTCATGAAAATAACAAATGTTGATGAAAATGCAGAGAAATTGGAACTCTTGTATGGTATTACAGTAAGAACAAAAATGATTCACCTACTGTGAAAAACTGGTCATTTCTCAAAAAAGTAAAGATAGAAATATGTTATGCCTGCAGTTCTACTCCTGTATACCCCTCCAGAAAAGAAAAAATAACCAGGGAAACAGATACTCAAACAAGCAGTATACACATGTTTATCACAGCACCTATTTCCAGTAGCTAGAATATGGAAAGCAGTTCCAGTGTTGATTAGTAGATGAATGTACACTGCACCAGAATAGTATTCAGGCATATAAAGTGATATAGTACAGAGTCATGCTGCAGTGTGGAGGAACTTCCAAAGCCCTGGGAAGAGAAAGATACCATGGACCAAAGGTCACATGCTGTATGATTTCATTTGCATAAGACATTCAGAATAGGCAGATCCATACAGACAAGACACAGATACGTGATTTCAAGGGTCTCAGAGCCTAAAAAAATGGGGAGAGTCTGCTTACTGTGTGTAATTTTACTTTGCAGTGATAAAAATATTCTGGAAATAGAGATGGTGTTACACACAAAGCAAATGCAATAAGTGCCACTCAATATTTTCTTTTAAAATGACATATTTTATGTTAATATGAATTTCTCCTTAATTTTGTGCTTAAAACCTCAAAAGGCATGATCCATTGAAGTTTTAGATGTAACCAAGGTTTACTTAGCTCTTCAGACGACAGTTTTCCTTTTAAAAAGACATGTACTAAGATTAGTGGGTTTGGAACATGGCGGACAGATAGCAGCAGCTATGGAGGCTCTCTGAAAGACCAGCTTAGAATTCAGGAATGGTGTGGAGTAAGGAATCATCAGCAAGAGGAGATATGCCCTGCTGACCCAAGAATGAACTGGGCTGAGAGAAACCAACTGGGAATGCAATCCTGGTGCTATAACAGGAACAGAAAAGCCTCAGTGTGGAAGTTAGAGCCCGCGCTATTGGAAGCCGCGATTTGGGTTTCCCGCCACTGCTGCTGCGTCTACATCAGCTCGGCAGGGAGAGACTCACAAAAGCTGAGAACGGGAATCAGTGAACAGAGTTGAAAGGAGGACGGGCGGGGAGCTATGCATTGACCTGTGGTGAGTGAGAGAAACTGGGACTCTTCCATGGTCTAGGAGACTCCAACAGAGGACATTCTGGGACTGGGCAGACTTGCGGGAACAGGGCGCTGCAGTGACTTCAGTCACATATCCCCCTCTCAAGCGGGGTTGGTGAGCAGTGCCTAGCCTACGTGACGCTGCTGGCTGAGACCCAGTAGGCTTGCACAACCCAGGTCCCAGCGCCTGAAGGTAGATTGACCTGGATGGGCGGCCCCGCATAGGCTGCCTGGTCTGCAACTTCCTGGTGCGGTGCGGTGGGCGGGAACACCTACCCTACAGAATTCAATCAGACTGTGGCTGACAGGGAAGGAAGCTGGGCCTCCTATATACACTTGCATATATAAGGAACAAAGAATATGGGAAGAGGCAGTAACAAGAAAGGCTCCTCAGCCCCCAATCCTGAGAAAGAGGCAATAGCAGACACAGCACCAATAGATATAAAGCACTATCTCCAGAGCCTCATAGACAAGTTCAGGAATGAAGTTAATAATGACCTGAACCTAGACATAAGCAGAATAGTTAGAGAAATGCTAAGCACCACCCAAGAAAAAACAGATGGTGGAATGGAAGAACAGAAAAAGTGGGGAGAATTGTTTAATGGAGAAAATAGAGAAAGCATAGAATATGTGAAGCAGGTTCAAAGAGATTATAAGGAAACTAAAAAGTCTATCAAAAACTGGCATAACAGCTTGAAAGAAACTAAGGACAGATTATCTGAACTGGAGGGCAGATTTGTAATATGGGAGCATGAAATGAAAAACTTCTTAAAAATAATAAAGAAACACAGCAATAATACAAAGACTAGAAGATGATAAGAGGGTCTATAACTTAAGAATTAAGAACATAAAAGAAGAAGTAGGGGCACAAATGAACTACAAAAGCTACTCACAGAAATAATCCAGGAGAATTTTCCTAATTTAGCAAAAGATAAAGATACTCAGTTGTATGAAGCATACAGGACCCCAGCCACCTACAACCCAAACAGAGCAACACCCAGGTATATAATAATTAAAATTCCAGAAATCCAATACAAGAACAGAATATTAAAAGCCGTCAGAGACAAGAAACAGATCACTTACAAGGGAACACCCATCAGAATTACAGCAAACTTCTCGGCACAAACCGTCAAATCACGAAGAGCGTGGGGGGAAATAATTCAAGCTTTGAAAGATAATAATCTCCAGCCAAGATTGATATATCCTGCACAACTATCCCTGGAAATTGATGGAAAAACAAGGTGCTTCCAGGATAAAGAGGAACTAGGGGAATTTGCAACCAATAATTCAACTCTACAGAGAATACTGCAGGATATTCTAAAAAAAAAATATGAAGAATCCAGAAATAGAGACAGAGAGGCCATGATGAATGGAGCAGAAAACAAAATGAAGAAGACAAACTGACAACTAATGACAGAAAAAGAGCTCAACAGAAATGAGGCAGGGAAGATTGGATGATAGGAACAGCTATTTTGGAGAAAATGACGTCTTAAGAGGTAATACTGATTTAGTATCATCTTGTTTTGAAGTCTCATCAAGCTTTTGTTCTTCTGTCTCCATTGGTCTAAACAGGTTGTATCTTATTGGATTTTATTATATATGATAGTATAAGCAAAAGCTTTTATAGACAGGGAGATTATACCGAAACCATTGTTCATTTTCTGTTAGTTGATTCTAAATACCCTGTAATACTGTCATTCTCTTAAATGGTTTTACATTGTTTTGATATATTTGATGCTACAGTATACGAAGTTATACTCAAAGATTTCAAGGAAAGAGACAATATGGTAACTACTTTTTATGTCGGGATTATCTTGTGGTGAAACACTATTTTGCTTAAATGGTTATGTTTTGATCTGCGCTGATTTGCTGTTATGTCCTCTTTTATCTCAATCTCCATTTTATTATTTACTTTTTTTTATTTTTATCCTTTTAATTAAGGGAAAAATTTTTATAAAGCAGGATATATTATAGTAACCCATTTTGACTTTCCATTATCTTGATTTGAAGCCCTGTATTGCTCTCACCATATTGTTTTGACTGATGTTCCTCTATTCTGTTTTGCTTGATAGTACCAGGTTCGAAAGTTTAGGCAGCAGCTGTGAAGATAGTGGGATACATTATGATGCCCATTCTGGTTGACTATTACCTACTTTTGAAGAGCTGTAATGTCTCCAATGTTTTGGTTTTGTTGGTTTTGTTCTTTACTGTTTTGTTCAATTTTATTATAACTGATGATACAGGCAATTCTATTAGAGATAGCGGGAGGCATCATGGTAACCATTGTTGATCACCTTGTATTATGCTTTTACATTATCTATTATGTCCACCCTTTTGATTTGACTGACTCTGTTCTGTTATGTCACATTTGGTTCTACTCTCTTCCAAAAAAGTAATAAGAACTGTGGGAGCATCAAAACCCAAAATGTGTAATTGTCATTGTACAAAAGAGAGGAAAAGAAAGTGCTCTAAATGATATAACTGCATGTATATTTAAGTGTATAAGATAGATAATGATATTACTGAGTTTTGTTGGATTATTGAACAGAACTGTTTGCAGTCTCACTGTTGGATTGTCCACTTTATAAACTTTAATTTTGTAACTTGAACAATTATTTCTAAGATGACAATATGTAATCCATTAACTAGTGATTTCCTACTATTTATTTTTTTCTGTAAACCGGTATAACTTGTACCCTTTCTCTGCTTTTTTATCTTTTTCTCCTTAAATAAAATTAAAAAAAAAAAGATTAGTTGGTTTTTTCACCACAGTAATGATATTGCTCACAAAAGTATTTGTCTGTTATTAATAGAAAACTTATGCTACTGGCTATGTTCTGGGCATTACGTTTATTCCTTCACATAGAATCACTATTTAAACCTCATTTAATAATTAATTATGATAGCCCTATAAAGGAAGAACTGTTTTTATATCATATTTCACAGATAAAGCTAGAAAGACTTTGCAGAATGATATTACTGTGCCAAGGCCCACAGCTAATAAGTGGTAGGCAGAATATACATCAGCATGGTTTGCTCTAGAGCATTGTCATATACTGTTCCTTAATATCTGTCTGCATAACATAGTGAACTCCATGAGAGCAGGGCTTTGAATCCAGGCCAGGCCCAGAGGAAGACTGATATTATATGACATATAAGTGAAAAAATGACTGAACAGAAATGAAGGGACTATTCAGCAAAGCCATTTTATAATGTTTGGCTCACACTGATGTTTTAAAAAGGTGAATTCTCAGGTAAAAAAGGCACTGTGTTCGACACTTCCGGCTCCTATGAGATATATAAGGTGAGTACAGTTTAGAGACCAGTGAACTATTATGAAATAGTTCTTATTTAAACTACATGAGCAAGGAGGAGCCATAAAGCAAAAAGCTATAAATCTCCCTTCTTTACCAGGCATTTCCCCACAATGATCCTGTTTTTTAATGCATATAGTGTTTTATATGTATATTAAAATTGATGATTTAATTTTTAAAGCTAGTTAAGATCCTCATTAAAGATATTAAACGCCTATAGAGTGGTTCATTTTATGATGACTTTATGGTCTAAGAAAGGTGAACAGGATTCCAAAGTCTCTCAAATGTTCTAATGCACTGACTTGTACTGGGAGCAAAGACATCAAAAATTCACCATCTGATTTTTTGCTTATCTTCTGCCACATGAGCAAATGTTAGCACTCTTCTAACCTTCTTGTCTGTGCATCAATTTGCCATTCGAAATTGACCATTCCAGCCAGTATGATGGGCTTTTAGATTTGTTAGCAAACTAATTTAGATTTGATTATGTCATTACCCAAACAGGCAGCCTGTATGTTTTTTAATGCACACACACTTCCGTAAGATAGAACTTACCTGAAGAACAAACAGACAGGCCCCAGTTCTTTAGAATTTAACTGTCAGCTTGATTTGGTATTTACCATCTGAGGGCAAAGTTAAGATCTCCAAATAAATATATAGGGAGTACTTTTTACTATGTAGCTGAGCAACAAATAACCTAAGAAGGAAAAAGGGAAGATTAGCAGCTGCATTTAATTTAGTTAGGTGGTTATTAGGGGTGTTTGCCGACACATGTTTACTGAGTGTTCCTTTCCCACCAGGTACTAGACTCAATACATCTCCGGGATGCTCCCAGTGTCCTCTTCCCTCCCAGCAGCTCTTTGGCAGAGCTGCCTTCCCTTCTGTTCCTAGAGTGTACCGAATTCCTTCTGCCTTCATAATCTCAAGTCCTCTGTGCCCTCTGCCTGAATGTGGCTCCCACATCATTTCATCAGTTTCTTTTCTACTTACACTTTTTCACTCAGTTTCAATATCTCTTTATCAGACTGAACTTTTTCTGACTGCTATGCCACTGACTCTTTTGTGCTCTTTGATCACCTTGAACTTTGCCTTCCCAGCAGTGAAAATTATAATAAACTAATTATTTGCAATCTAGTTTGTTTCATATCCTTTGATAGATATAAACTTCAAGAAAAAAGAAACAGTTACTCTAGCTCACCTCTAGATTCCTAGTCATGAGATGAGGGCCTACCACTTAATAGAAGGTCAGTCAATAAGCTTTAGTAGAAAGATTGTAATTTCAAAGCCAGCCTGGGCAACTTAGCAGACCCTGTCTCTAAAGGCAGGGGCAGGGGGACCAAGCATGTAGCTCAGAGATAGAGCACTTGGCCAGCATGAGCAGGCTCTGGTTCAATCTCTAGTACTTAACAGGGTGGGGAAAAAACAGTGCATGAAAGAGAGCAACCATGTTCTCTATGGACTTACAATTCAGGACTATTTAATTTTTATGTAGAATCTATGGTATTTTTCTGAATTAATCCTAACTTTTAAATTAAGCAATAAATACTAAGAACTTCACAATTGGATGTAAAGAAGGAGGGAAGTTAGGGGAAGGTGGCAAGTGGAGAAAGACTTAACTTCCAGTTGAGTATACAGAACAACCAATTGTCTGGTAATATCTCTTTTTAATTTGGTTTCACAAAAGTAAGACTAGTGCTAGCTTCCAAGTCTTCTTCCATGAAGTTCCAAAGAGAGTTTGAGAACCAGGAGTTATCATTGGGCTTGTTGACCTGTTATTTAGCTTTTTTTTTTTTGGTCTTTTTTGTTTTGTTTTTATTGGTACCAGGGATCGAACTCACGACTGCCTGCTTGCAAGGTAGGCGTTTATGCTGCTGAGCTAAATCCCCAGCCCCTGTTATTTAGCTTTGTTATCACTACAACAAGCCACCTGAGATAATCAGCTTACAAAGAGAAAAGGTTTATTTCATCTCATAGTCTGTATTAAATCAGTCCTGTTGCTTTGATCCTGTGGTGAGACAGCCAACCATGATGGAAGTATATGATGGAGCAAAACTGCTCATTTTATGACCAGGAAGCACAAGAAGAAGAGATGCAGATCTCACAACCCTAGGGTCCCAGGGCCTCACACTAGGCCCCATCCTGAGGATCAAGCCTTCCACACATGGGCCTTTGGAGACATTTAGCCTCCAGACTTTGCCAGGGCAAACCTTTATTTTAAAATAATCAGCCAGTGGGTTTCAGCTTCTTTGATTTCAATTTTTATTCTCCCCATAGTCTCCCTTAAAGAGTAACCCATTCAGTAATGAGACACTCTGAATAGCAGAGGGGAAGTACAAAAGGGTGGCACAGGGGCCATTTGGAAATCTGACCTGCATGTCCACCAGACTTCTGTAAGATTCAGATTAGACTTGAATACTCATCTGCTCTGCTCTGCTCTGATTTCCATAAAAGCTTGTGATTTATGCCGTCAGAATATGGTGTCTGTCCTTGTTAGTTCAAACTCAGGCATTTGATACCTTTGAAACTTCACGTGGCACTATATCCTGTATTGTTTACACATACCCCACAGCAAAGCTTCCGTGATTTCTCTTTATAAGATTCAGAATATGGTATTTTATTTTAGGTTCTTATTAACCTCCAGAATTCTCTTCCTGCATATAAAATCTTAATTTACTAATACGTATTTTGATGTAGAAATTATCTTTTTAACTCCATAGAAGTTTGATATATGTCTTAAATGTGTATGTATCAACTAGTTTAGTTATTTTTCCAAATATTTTCTGTTTTGTGAGTTTATTTTGAAATGATTTTCTAAAAGTGAATAAAAAGTAAGAATGGATGGGCACTGAACACCTGAAAACGAAAACTTATAAATCTAGTGCATTTCAAAGAACTGAAGCCTTACGACACTGAGAAACAGTTACATTTGCTGTTATTTACGTTTTTAGTTAAATAATTCGGTTTGCTTTACAAGATTAAGACATTAGCACCCAGTTAGGAAAATACCATGGCTCAGGTACACAAAACACTAATATAATTTACCTTTATAAAGAGAATGTAGACATACATCAAGATGGTTTCTAAGGGGTAACTGGTGGAATTTCCATACTAACATTTATATACATATAAGTTTTTCTACTGGATCTAAAACTTTTAATACAAAATCAAGAGTATGTTCAAATCATTGTGAAGAATACTGTGTTTAAATCAAATACATATTTATCATATATTTTATGTGTTTCCTTCAAGTCTTTTCTTTTTTTAAATTCTTTTTATTTTAAAGAGATTAAAAGAGGACATAACAAAGCAGATCAGAACAGAACAATTTAAGCAACATAGTATTTTACCACAAGATAATCCAATATAACAGTAGCTACCATAATGTCTCTTTCCTTGAAATAGTTGAGCATACCTTCATACACAATAGTATCAAACATAACAAAATAGTATAAAACCATTAAAGAAAATGAAAGTATTACAGGGCATTCAAAACCAAGTAACAGAAAACGAACAATGGTTCTATATTATCCCAATGTCCATAAAAAATTTATTTATACTACCACACATGATAAAATCCAATAAGATACTACATGATAGAACCAGTGGAAACAGAAGAATGAAAGTATGGTAGGACT